GTAGGCAGGATAAAGGAACATGATGAAACTTCTGGGGGGGGGGAGGGTCACAGATTTATATGTTCATTATTTTGATTGTGATGATAATTTCATGAATGTATACATATACAAAAACATATCAAACTGAACACTTTAAATATATGCTATCCATTGCATGTCAGTTATATCTCAATACAGCTGATTTTAACTTTGATTTTTCTTTTTATTTACTTTTTTTAAGTATGCTCTACGCCCAACGTGGGGCTTGAACTCAAGACCCCAAGATCACAAGTTGCATGCTCTACCAACTAAGCCAGCCAGATGCCCCTGGATAAAGCTGACTTTAAAAAAGACAGGGGCTGCTTCTTGGGTGGCGTGAATGGTTGTTAGTCCGAATTTCAGCCAGGCTCACCATCTCAAGGGTTCAGAGTTCGAAACTCCGCCATTTGCGGGGCTCTGGGCTGATGGCTCGAGCCTGAGCCTGTTTCCCGATTCTGTGTCTCCCTCTCTCTTCTCTGTTCTCCTGCTCATGCTCTGTCTCTCTCTGTCCCAAAAATAATAAACGTTAAAAAAAAAATTAAAAAAAAAAAAAAAGACACCATTAGCGCTTGGTACGGTTAAGCCGGCTTCGATTTCACTCACAGGTCACAATCTCGAACTGTGTGAAGCTTGAGCCCCGCTGGCTGGGCCTCTGGGTTGATTTTGCCCGGAGCCTGCAGCCTGCTTCCCTCTCTCTCTGCCCCTCCCCCGTTCATGCTCTGTCTCTCTCTGTCTCAAAAATAAATAAACGTTAAAAAAAAAAGACACCATTAAGAAAATGAAGAGAGAGGTCACAAAGTCATAGATCCGGAGAAAATATTTGTGAATCATATACTTGGAAAAAGACTTATATCCAGAATATATGAAGAATTCTTACAATTCAGTAATAAGAAAACAAACAGCCCAATTTTAAAATTGGGCGTAATAACTGAATATGCATTTCAACTAAAAAAATATGACGGGGCGCCAGGGTGGCTCAGTCTGTCAATTATCTGACTCTTGATCTCGGCTCAGGTCATGATCTCATGGTATGTGAGATCGAGCCCCATGTCAGGCTCTGCACCGACACCATGGAGCCTGCTTGGGATTCTCTATCTGCCCCTCTCTCTGCCCTTCCCCCTCTCACAGTCTCTCTTTCTCTCTCAAAATAAATAAATAAACTTAAAAAAAAAAAAGAAAATATGATGCCTAATAAGCATATACTATATACATAATACACATACATTATATCTGTATATATAACAGTCATGAAGGAAATGCAAATTAAAACCCCAATGAGATACCACTACTTACTTACTAGAATGATTATTTAAAAAAAGACATGTGTTGGCAAGGATGTGAAGAAACTAGAACTCTTACACACCTCTCAAAGGAATCGAAAACGGCGTACCCACTCCACTCTTTAAGTCTGGCAGCATCTTAAAAAGTTAAAACTAAACTTACCACATGACCCAGCAACTCAACTCATAGGCATCTAGCTACTCAAGAGAAATGCAAACATACGTCCACACAAAGACTTGTTTGAGAATTATTTGAGCATTATTCCTAAGAGTCAAAAAGTGGAAACAATCCAAACGTTCATGAACAGATGAACAAGAGGTATAGCCACACAATAAAATACTATTCAGTAATAAAAAGGAACCAGCAATACGTACTACGACATGGATGGACCTCAAAAATATTATATTAAGTGGAAAACAAATCAAAATAGTGCATATAACCAAAACTCACCCAATAGGAAAAAGATCATTCAAAACTTTAATAACCATTAAAAATTTAATTCATAGTTTAAAACCTCCCCCAAAAGCAAACTCCAGGCCCAGATGATTTCATTGGCATTTCAAGAATGGACACCTGGCGTGCCTGGGTGGCTCAGTCAGTTAAGTGTCTGACTTTGGCTCAGGTCATGATCCCTCTCTTCTCGAGTCTGAGCCTGCGTCAGGCTCTGTGCTGACAGCTCAGAGCCTGGAGCCTGTTTCAGATTCTATGTCTCCCTCTCTCTCTCTGCCCCTCCCCTGCTTGCACTCTGTCTCTCTTGCTCTCAAAAATAAACATTTTTGGGGGTGCCTGGGTGGCTCAGTCGGTTGAACGTCCGACTTCAGCTCAGGTCATGATCTTGCGGTTCGTGGGTTCGAGCCCCGCATCAGGCTCTGTGCTGACAGCTCAGAGCCTGGAGCCTGCTTGATTCTGTGTCTCCTGCTCTCTCTCTGACCCTCCCCTGCTCATGATCTGTCTCTCTCTGTCAAAAATAAATAAACATTAAAAAAAATTTTTTTAATAAATAAAAATAAACATTAAAAAAATCTTTTTTAATTAAAAAAAATAAAATAAAAAAATAAAGAATTGATACCAAATTCAAAATAATCT